TAAAAGTTGTAATCTAAAAAAACGTCTGTAGTAAATATCAGAATTTGTTCATTCAGCAAGTCTTTACTGTGCATCCACTGTTACACACACTGTGGATAAGAGGTGCAGGAGGCAACCTTGCTACTAATGAGGGGACTGCCATTTAGCGACCAAGTGAAACAGCTATTGGGGTAGTGGCGAGATGAAGTCTCAGAGAATGGGGTCAGACAGGAAAGCTTCCGTGAGTAAAGCAGATTATAGCCTGAGTATTGAAACACAATGACAATTTCAACTGACCAGAATGGGTAGGAGGGCACTTCAGAGTGTAGCAACAACAGCGAATGGGAAAGCTATGGGAACAAAGGGAAAGGGGAAAACACATGAAACGTCAGAGTATACAGACGGCCCAGGAGAGTACACAGGGAGAAAGGTTAGGATAGGAGAACGGAAAGCAGGATGGCTGAAAATGCCATAAAAGTAATTCAAAAAGAAAGATTAAAAGACATTTTTTTTAATTAACCAGAGGTATGAGAAAGAATGATGGCTGAAACAAAAGTAGCAAGAAGGTTCCTATTGAGCAATTTTATCTTTGATGTGCCTCATCTTTTGTCCTAATTTCTATTCTGTTATGAAAATTCAAATACAATTGTATATTCCTACTGCAATAAAAGCAAATGGTTTTAAATAAATATTTGTTCTGAAACAGTGAGAGAAGAATTCTGGGTAGGGGTTAATAAATCACAGATTGGTTGATTGATGCTACGTCCCTGATACAGGACCTTACTAGCACACTTCATACTAAAATGACACATAAATGAATGTAACTACAGAAGAACAAAGTTCTAGAAACTCAAAGTTCTAGAAACAGAGACAATCCAAAAGCAAACAAAAAAATACAACGGATAAATTCTATAATTAGTCAAAATTAAAAATAAAGTAACAATGTAAGATACTAAAAGAGGATCAGGTCCCTAAAAACCCCACAAAGGGCTTTTTAATTTTGAAATTAAGGTACAGAATCTGGTTAATTTGTCACTTATAAACTACATCTTAAATTACTACAAAGTCCCATCAATTATAGTTAATTATCTAGTCTTCCCCTGAATGAAAGTCTTTTTGTACCTGTTAGCCAAAAAATAATAAGCAAAACAACTCAATTGTGAACAAACAGGTGATAAAAAATTATAAAGTAAACTTGACTCAAGTAACCATCCAGAGAGTCTCTCTCCCCGTGAGGACTCACAGAATGTACTAGAATTCATTTGTTTCGGTTTCATATTGTTAGATACTGCATATATAGATGTATGTCAATAAGTAACACATTACATAAGGATCTACATAAATTAAATAATAATATCTGATACTTTCTGAGTTTAAAAGCTATAACATAAATCAATAAAAAGGCTGGCATTTATTCAGCATGTGCTTTACCTTCCTCTTCCTCTCACCTCAACCTCATTTTTTTCAACAAACTATAACCAGTGGTAGTTGAAGTAAATGCCAATTTCTTATGACAAGCTTCTTTCTTTCTTCCCTTTTTTCTTTCTTCTCTGTCTCTTCCTTAAGGTATTATGAATACTTGTTGTTTTACCAGGACATTGTGAATCATTAATTTTATTTTTACATACACAATAATTTAACATTGAGAACATTAAGAAGAGCTCCAAAAGGAAAATTATTTCCTGTTACCATGTTGTGTAATAATATAAAGAGCTTTAAGTTTTCAGTCTGAAACTATAGCTGCATCTTTCAGATGTGGCATCTAACAGTGACAGATGGTAATGATAAAAATAAATAGGACATTTGAGTTGTTTATACTGTAGGCAAAGAGAGTCTCAAAGTGTGAAACAAGCTTAGTGCTGATAGAATTCATATCATCCTTTATAAAATGTATTGAGAATGCATATTTCCCCATTCCAACTCTGCAATGCTGCTCACAAAACATAATAGCTTTTGAAGGTATGCCACCATTGCATCCTCACTAATTTAGACATAACAACGCCATAAAGGATTAAGTAGAAATCAATTTTCCTGAATTATCAAAAGCTGTTTCACTTTTCCAAGTTTTAAACATTTCTGGAAGTTTTCACTATGAGAGATGTTCCCACTAAATGCATGAAAATCCACGGAAGTACTACTAGAATTAATAAGAGTTCAACAAAGTTTCAGGACAGAAGATTAATACACAGTTGATTGCATTTCTTTGCATTACAATAATATGAAAACAAAATTATAAGAGGACTTAGACCAACTAGACATTAAAAACAAAAATAAAAGAAATCCAGACTGGAAAATAAGTGAAACTACCATTTTTTGCAAATGACATGATAATATACACAGAAAACCCTAAAGACTCCACTAAATAACTATTAGAAACAATTACCTAGAACAGTAAGGTGGCAGGCTACAAAATGAATATACAAAAATCTACTGTATTACTACATACACATAAGGAATGAGACAAAAAAGAAATGAAGAAAACACTCTTGTTCACAATTGAGCAAACTGTACAAGAGAAAAGCCTATATATGATAAAACCTACAAGATACTGTTAAAAGTTACAGAGGACAAAGCGATGGAAAGATTCTCCATGCTTATGATGGGGTCATAGTTAAAATGGATGTCTTACCTAAAGCAGTATACAGATTCATACAATCCTTATCAAAATTCCAATGAATTTAGGGAGTAAAACAAACAAAAGAATATTTTTAGGTCAGTAGAACAAAAAGATGGTACTACTTCACAGATTTTATACAGATTCAATATAGTCCCTATCAGAATTCTAGGTGAATTCTAAAAATGTGCAAGCTGATTTCAAAATTCCATGGAAATTAATTGTAAGGACCCTAAAAGGCCAACTCAATCCTGAAAAACAAAGTAAGAGTACTTGTCAAGTATAAAACTTACCAAGGTAACACTGGCAGGCAGACATATAGAAACAGAATTAAAAGCCCACAAATAAACTGCTATTGACATATAGGCCAACCAATTTTCTATAAGGGAGTCAAAAACAATTCAATGGAGAAAGGATTCTCTTTTCAACAAGCAGCACTGGAATAACTAGACAGCCAATGGAGATGCACCTCAAACCAGGAAAAAAAAAACCTCAAAATGTATCATAGGCTAAAATGTATAATCTAAAACTATAATCTTCCTAGAAGAAAATGTAGGAGTAACTCTTCACCTTGCTTCAGGCAAAATCCTCTTAGTAAGACACCAAAGGTGATAAAAAAATAAAGTGAACTTCATCAAAAGTAAAAACTTCCATATAAACTTGAGAGACAAAAGCCAACCTACACAAAACCTGTAGTTCACTTGAACCAGGATTCCCAGTCTCTTTTCAAGACATTTTTATCTTTTGTTAAATCCCTTCTTTGTTACAGCAGAGCTAAATGCTTGAAAGATGAAAACATGTATCCACACAAAAACTTGTATATGAATGTTCACAGTTACATTATTTTTACATACACAATAATTTAACATTGAGAGCATTAAGAAGAGCTCCCAAAGGAAAACTATTTCCTGTTACCATATTGTGTAATAATATAAAGAGCTTTAAGTTTTCAGTCTGAAAACAAAAATGAAAACAATCCAAAATAAATGGCTGAATAAACTATGGTATATCTATATAGTGGAATATTATTTAACCAAAAAAAAAAAAGAGTGAAACACCAATACATGGATCAACCTTGAATACATTAAGCGAAATGAAAGAAACCAATCATAAAAGACTACATTTTACTTGGCTGCATTTATGTGAAATGTCCAGAATAGGTTAGGTTTACAGAACAGAAAGCAGACCAGTAGCTGCTTGGGACTGGGAAGAGGAAGACTAATCTCTAGAGGATTGTATTTTAAGTTACTAATGCCATACTTAAAAGAGAAAGAAAGCTGTGGTCATCACAATCACAAGAACTTTATTAATCAAGTATCCTGAGGAAATCTTTTTTTTTTTTTTTCCGTAACTTTACCCTAAGGAGGGGGATTTAACAGAATACAAATGCCTTGAAAAGACAATAAAACTACTGGCCTAATTAGAACTACAGAGGATTCTGTTTCACAATTTAAAATTTCAGTGAGAAAACTTTGACTAGTACATCCCTTACCTATAAATTTGAAAGGCCAGGTATTACTAGCCTTTTACAATGATCTAAATGCTGTAAGTGAAATGGGTTTGACGTGGCCTTGGGGGACAGAGGTTAAGAAAATATGAACTAAGGAATGAATAAACCTTCTGAAACCTAGAAGATAGGTTAAAGAAAACAGTCCCAATAAAATCTAAGACCCAGGATTTTTTCTCTCCACTGGGGTGGGAGATGGAAGAAGGAGCAGTGTAACAGAAACAGTAGAGGGGATATCATACAACTAGATGAAATAAAAGTGATTACTTCCTCTTCCCGTCTTAGACTTTGCTTTCATTTATCTTAAAAATTTAATACAGACCAAAAAGTTCTAGACTAGGTATTCTATATAATCTTATTCTTAAGAAATGACACCAATGAAAACAAACAAAAAATCATTTTCTTGATCTTACACCCTGTAACACTGCTCTACATATTTGTAAGATATTCCATATACTTATAAGCATTGTGAACATATTACATAAGTATGAAGAATTGTTGTTTAAAAGTTTTAATATTCATAAGTACCATAAGCTATGTATTTCCTTCCTTCATTTATTAATTTTCAGTTAATGACCTCATGTTAGTTCTTTAACCCTGTTGTTTTCTTTCATCCTTTTTTATTAATAAGCTTTATTCCTACTATAAAATTATAAAAGCAAATAATGACAATGCATGTAGTAGAACAAATAATTCTTAAAAATGTATGCATGTAAATAAACCTTGGGGAAATGATCTGTAGAGAAATAAGAACATATTAAAAATAAAAATCACAGAAAACCAGAAACATATCATTAAATGTAAAGAATAGCAGAACTGGTTATGTACCCCACTGGAAGAGAAAATCTGTATCTTGAAGCAATTGATAAAATAATCATACTAAGGAAAAAGTGTACTCACCTGGTTTTGGCACTGAGTTGGTCACTGACTGGGGAACTTTCTGGTTAATTAACTCAACACAATGTCCAGGAAAGAGTCCCACCTAAGGAAGACAGGTAGCAAAGAATCTAAACCAGAGAACAGACCACTGTATGAACTGCCCAGTCAATTTCAGTAAGATTCTCCATGGTTCCTCTCAAAAGATTCTACTATTCCAAGACTCTGAATCACAGATGACACTAATTATATACACAAATAATACAACAATCTGTTGCTATGAATAAATAGTTACATCTTTTATGTGGCCAAATATCTGTCTGCTTTTTTAGTTTTGTGGTTTTAATTACCTAATTTTTAATATCAGAATATTTAATCTGATACCAAGTTATGCATGTAGTCCAATTTTTGTCTCTTAAGAATTTACTTTGCTGAAATTTAAAGCTGATTGCATTGACATCTCTATTGCCAAATCTTATATATTTATTGTCTTGTCTGTAATCTTTTTTTAAAGATTTATTT